GTGGCTAGTTGAGTTTGAAGCTACATAACTCGTTGAGGACTTTTCTATACTCTATCGCAATTTTTGACGAAGTTTCACACCAATCCAATGGCTTAATAGCGCATGGCTATCGAAGTGTATAGTTACTTAATACAAATGAAGAGAATATTCGATGAGGCAAAGTGCAGCCTCTTTTATGGCCGCGAGTTCCGCTTGAAAGAAACTGCAATGGTCAGTCAGCCTAAAGCAGAAGTCTAATGAGAGGTCCTACGAGTGTCTTAGAATTAGTTTAGAATCATCCGTGTTTAGGGCTGTAGAATGTTCTTTGAGGTCCCAGGCCAAATCGTGCTTCCTCGAAGGGAACGAGTCGAGCTCGAGCGGCGGTGTTGTGTAGTCTGTAGACCTAAAAGCATTGCGGTAAGGGCATTTCTGTCCCGCCCCTCTACCTTGAGTTGCCAGGTCTGTTTCGTGTCCAAAATGACGGCCAATAAGAAGAAGAAGCATTCTCTGTGTTCTCGTTACTGCCAGAAGGAATTCAGTCTCAAGGTTCAACATATCACGGGCTGTCTTAATCCTCAGAACTTCAGCAACAGTCAACCGTGCTTTATATGAAATTTCTGGGATAGAGCAGGCGCTTAACTAGAGAGTCCACTTTAGCAGCATTTCTGTAGTTGACCATTCAATTACACTTTGCATAAGAGGTACATCAAAGATTTCATGCAAGTTCTTTAAGGAAGGGAAACGTTTTATCTCCACTGCTATGCAATTTCGTGCTGAATTAATTCCAGCTTAACTTGACCTCGAAATCAAGTTTGCAGAATTATTTTGATAGTCTATCAATTTAAGAGCCCCCGTCGCTGAATGTTTCAAATCTTAAACTGTCTAAAGAGACGAAATTTCTGCGAAAATACAGAAGTCTAAAGCCGCGGCCCAAACACTCGTTGCATACAGCATTTTAAGACCTTTTCCGAAAAGACACTTCAACACATTCCATTTACACATACATACATATTAGAGGGCTGCATGAATCCATTCTAAACGGCAAATGAATCATTCATATTGAAATTAAATGAATGTGATTGGGTTTGAATTTTATTGAATTTAAATGAATAGCTTTGCTGGTATGATTGTCGACATTACAATATTCAAACGATGTGAAAACAAATTTTTTTTATTTTTATAAATCTAAATACCTACATTTCCTTGTATTTATTGAACTTTTCTTATACATATTTTGTACTTGTATGCGCCATAAAAGAGAGTCATTAGATAAGAATAGAATTGGTTTCAACATATAGTATATTTATATTTCTATATTTGAATGCAGAAGCATTATTTTATTTACATTGTCTGGGTTAAGAGCAATAGTACAACGTTTTTCGGTTATTAAATTTCTGGCATCTGAAAAGGCTCTTTCAGAAGCCGCGCTACTTGCGGGTATACAGAAAATTTTGCAGCTCGTTTTGTATAAAATTGGAAAAAATTTTTTGTTCAGATACCACCATTTAAGGCAGTCGAAGTCAGCAGTGAACGTAACATTTAGGTTTGAATAACTTTGAATCTCCTGATCCACAGTATGAGTATTTATAATATAGCATTTATGTCTTACAATATTTGACGTGCACCCCGTAAATTTGTAAATGCTGTAGCATCTTTTACATGATACAATATCGGGCAACTCTTCGCCAGAGTTATTTTTAACATTGGAAAATATCTCCCAAACTTTGCTACGACCTCTTTTTTGACTCAGTGTGTATTCTCCACTGTGGAGCTTCTTCTTGATGCCGGCACTTTGCAATAATGCGCTTGCGGAGTGTTGTTATTATAAACATATACCATTATCATTATTAAATGGACCGAAATGTAGATTCACTATACATACATACGTACATCATTTTAAGCTAAACGTATTTACATTTTCCTCTACACTTTCCATTCTTTTTTT